CTTCATGTAATATTAAAATGTGTTTGACAGTCTGAATCATCTAAGTGAGACAAATATGCAAAAAAAAAAAAAACAGGAAGGGGGCAAATACTTATTTGACAGCACTGTTTGTGTGTGTGTGATGAATTTTTACAGCATGTCTGAGCTTTCAGAAAGCAGAGAGCAGAGAGCTGAAGTTACAGTCTTCAGAGCTCATTTGAGAGCTGATTGGAGGGAAGGGACACACACCCCCCCCCCCCCCTTACACATCACACAGGAACAGAAATTAGGTTGTTCATCAAAGGCTGTGTGCTGGAGCTCCATCATGTGTCACCTTTTTTCTCTTGGGGTCATGAAAATCTGACAGGTGTGACTCAAACAGATAGCACAGGAACGAGGTAGCAGAGAAAAAGAACACTTAGGGCCAGTTTACAGCACAATAATGCACTCCGGATGCATTAAAGATACATTTTTTTGCTGACAGTTCACACCACACGCAGTTTTCATGAAGTTTGCTGTTTCAGTACAGTTCTGTATAAAAAAATGCAGCATGTTCTACTTTTTTTTCTGCACTGGAAACCGACTGGAACTGACTGCACTGGTGTGAACTAGGGCCATTGGAGTACATGGAAAACACCGTGCATGCATTTTTTTTTTGATGCAGCAAAAAAAGGCTCAGGACTGCATCTAATGTGAACTAGACCGTAGCGCTCTGGATTGAGACACGCACACACTAAATAAATCTGTTTGATGGTCAAAATCATTAAAGTGTGTGACAAACATGCAAAAAAAAAATAGGAAGGGGGCAAATATTTTCTTTTACAGCACTGTATAGATTTATTTCATATACAAATATTTCTAACACATCAAGAAAGTTGGGGCAGCATCCGCAACTACTGAGATGACACCAGACACACAGGACAGTGGATTTTCAATTAGGATAAGCAGAATGATGGAATTGATAGAAGTAAATAAGGAGTATAGTATAATCAGAAGCAACCACTGGTGCATATATGATACAAAATGAAGCTAAAATAACCCAAAAGTCCATAAAAGTCTGTAATGGTCCATATACTTTAGTGGCAGCTCCTCAGTGACACTGACATAATAACAATAGGGAACATAAGGAAACAGCAAGGGTCTGCAAATGGAATTGCATTGAGAGGGAGGACAGTAAAGCCGGCCATAGATAGGATCGAAAACCAAGCGAAAATTCTTGTTGAACGTAGAATCGTTTGGTTTTCGCATTATTAGTGTGCCTGCTGCGAGATGCGATTTTCATGCAGCAATTGAAAGTGCCAGACCCAACATGCCGCAATTTATTTTAGAAAAATCAAACAAATGATGGCACACTTGTATGGGCTATTCTCATTTTTCAATCGACAGAATGTTCGGTTTTCGACTCATCTATGGCCGGCTTAAAGATTTCTTCACACCATACATGTGCGGTGGTATGCAGAAAAACCCAGTCAGTCAATGGATATGGTGTAAACAAGCCTTACAGCCCGAGTGCTACTAAGCAGGAAGCGCAGCCTGAGGATGGAATGGGCCGGTATGGCTTCCCCTTTGTAGCTGATCAGTGGTCTTTGGGGCTAAGATCTCAGTGTGGTCAGATATCACATTAAGATTGCTATGTCTTGGTGACCTAAGGGATGTCATGTCATGGGGACTTATAAAAGCCATGCACTGAGAATAGATATCCAGGGCTGAGGACTACCATATTGTCCAATTTTCAACATTCTTTTTCCTTTATATAGTAAAAAAAAAAAAAAAAAAAAAAAACAGTGGATATTAAACACCAAAAGAAAGTTCAATTTCTAAAAAAAAAGGGTATATGAAATCCATTAGTATACAGCGTTACATGACCAGTTGTCATTCTATCTCAGCGTTGAAATCTGACCAATGTCCTCATAATGAAGGAATATTACAGCCTGGCACTCAACGGACTACACACTAAATGGCCAAAATGTCTTCTTCCCCTCCCCCCTCCCGCAGGCTAAGATCACATGACCATTAATTTCAGTTGGGAGCCAGCAGATCAGAACATGGCAGGTACAGGGCTAAAAATAGAACCTTGTCCTGGTGTATAACTTTGTGAATCCCATCCATAGACAGGAATAACATGATTTCATTGGGCGCTGGATACATAAAACATGAATAATACAGATGTAAGCTGAGCAAAGATGTCCCACATTTTGTTTACTTGAAAAAAAATGACCCAAAAAATGTGATCTACAAACACCACATAGGAAGCCCAATGTTTTTTCCATATATGGTCATGTACCTTCCAAGCCAGGGTCATGTCACCTTGTTTTTCCATAGCTACCAGAACTCTGATGTCATCACCACTTAGCTCCGCCCCCTCAGCTTGCAGTCATTCCCTTTGTGTACGCTACCAGGAGTGGAAGCGATTTCTCTTTCTCTGTGCAGCTTTGTCATTTGTAATCATGAAGCGGCTATTTACGAGAAAGAGAGCAAATAATGTGAAGGACCTCCTGAAAACCAACAAGGAGGAGCCTTTTACATTACAAACAGTGGGACCCTTAACAGAGGACCACAGAACAGCATCACAGCCCCAAGATTCTGCCCCTAAAAGGGGGAGATTTAGGGCAGCTGGGAAAAGATTTTGGCAGTGTCTGGCTAGATGTTGCCCCTTTTCTCAGACAAAATTAGAAAAAGAAGACGCAGAAAGTAAGTACTAGTCTGTTGAGATATAATGCAGGGCACTGTAAGGGTATACAACATTTATCACCAATTACATATATATTGGGGTCACTATACATACACATAATGGGGTCACCGGGTAGAGAGTAGGGGAGAGTTAAGACCCCGTCAGGTACCTGGAGGTCCTGCCAGTAATAGCACTTGTCATTAGCAGCAGCATTTGTCAGCCTGCCCTCAGTTGAATTCAGGTGACAGTTGGGCTGCAGGGGTCAGGGGTCAGGTGGTGTGCAGGAGGCATACATGGTCTATGGATAAATACAAAGTCAGTGTGAGCCCCTCCCCAGTGACAGGCTGTGTATACAGGACCCTTCAATAGCAATGAGACCTTACACTGCCCCCCCCCCCCCCCCCCCCCCATGACATTCCCATTCACTAGGACCATTCCTATAGACAGTTGTGTCCTAGGATCTGTATGACCAGGCAGACTGGGGGCTGCAGGAGCAGACCATTCATTCCGCTTGTCATATTTTTCTACACACACATTTCTAAATCGTTAGGAAAGTTGGGGTGTCATCCACAACTACGGACTCACAACCAAATACAACATAGTGTTACATTTATATTTAGTCAATGAAGATAAGCAGAGTGATGGAATTGCATTGAGAGGGAGGAACAGCTTAGGGCTCATTTACACCACATGCATTGAACGTAGTATGAATGCATATACAAGAAAAACAATGCATTTCAATAAGCCTCGTTTACCCCATTGCACTGCATGTGCGTTTATGAAAAGTACAACATGCTGTATTGTAGGGGGGGTGTGTAGAAAAAACGTAGCTCAATGGATGTGATGTAAACAAGCCCTAGAGCACAAGAGAGTTACTTAGCAGAAAGCGCAGCCTGAGTATGGAATGGGCCAGTATGGATTCCCCATTGTAGCTGATCATTGCTCTTTGGCAGTAAGATCTCAATATGGTCAGATATCACATTAGGATTGCTATCTTTTGGTGGTCTGAAAGTGTAAGTACGGTTACTCAGCATTTCATAGCTGTCAGGCTCAGCTCACACGAGCTTTGTCAGCAGGTGTCAGACGGACCTTTGGGAAGCGTTTTTAAAGCTTCTCAAACGCTTATGAAAATTCTGCACATGGCAGCACATAGTGCTGTTCACACTGAAGCGTTAGCGTTGCGGCAAAACTGACGCTTCATGTGGAGTCAGGAGGAGTTGAAGCCTCCCATTCAAGTCTATGGTGGCGTTTGCGGAGCGGTTGCGAGGCAGTTGCGGAACGTTAACACCATTTAACTTCATTCATTGCGGTGCGGTTGCGAGGCAGCGTTTGTTTGTGGTGCGGTTTTTTTTACGCTTGGCAAATGTCTAACAGATTCAAAAAAGCGCATGGGGCGTTTGGGGAACGTTAAAAACGCTTCCCATACGCCTGTCTAACGCCTGTCCAAGGCTATAGGGGCGTTTGGCAAGAGTTAGAAAGAAAGTCAAGTGTGAACGAGCCCTTAGGGATGTTACGGGTTTTAGAAAGCCATGCACTGACAATAGATCCCCAGGGCTGAGAACCATATTGTCTAGGAATGGATAGAACTGCCATAAAGGACAACGTGTCACATAAGATTAGTGTCACAACAAAGATTCCCTTCCATATGTAAAAGAAAAAAAAAAAGACATTTAAATGGCCGCAGTTACCTCATCTGTGATGTTTTTTTTTTTTTTTTATTTATCTACTTGTACATGTTCTGTTTACCTCTCATACTATGTTTGCTAAATTTATGCAAAATAATAAAGACATATATGCCTTTAAATGGCCGCAGTTTCACATAAATGATGTGGAAGTAGAAATAATACTTTTTTTTCTCTGTCTCCAGGCAAAAATGAGATCCCATCCAACAAAGACACTGCGCAAATTCAGCAAGCTACATCGATGGAGGACAAGAAACCTCCCAATACTTCACATACCAGTGAGAGTAAGGAGGCTTCACTGGTCAAATCTACTTCACCTACCGACCAGTCCTACAAACTCAGCCTGGAAAGTTTCACCTTCCATAGAGTACTAGGACAGGGGAGCTTTGGAAAAGTAGTGTTGGCCTCTCATCCTGACATTAAGCAGAAGCTAGCAGTGAAAATGGTTAAAAAAAGACCATTACTTCGACAGGATCCCAGCTGCGTCATTACAGAGAGCTACATAATGGAAATGTGCAACAGATACTCATTTTTCGCACATCTCTACTGCTCCTTTCAAACAGAGACTCATCTCGTCTTTGCTATGGAGTTCCTGGGCGGAGGAGATCTTGAAAAATTCATAAGAGATTCAGCTCCACTTGATGAAGTAACCTTAAGATGTGTTATGTGTTACTGCCGAAATTCTCTGTGGACTGCAGCACCTTCATTCTCTTCAGATTGTCCACAGAGATCTAAAACCAGAGAACATTCTTCTGGATAACGCCGGGCACGTCAAGATTGCCGATTTCGGCCTGTCGGCAATGTTCGTCACGGAGAAAAAACAGAGTCAAAAGTTGCGTGGGGACGCTATGTTACATGGCCCCTGAAGTCTATTATCAAAGGCCATACTATTACCCCCGGCTGACTATTTCTCATTTGGGATAATAGTATATGAGATGGCCTTAGGCGAGCATCCTTTTTATACTGGACAGGAGACTGAAGAGCAGTTGGTTACTTCCATGTACGCCACGGAACCCTATTTCCTACGGCACTTGAACTTTTATCTGCAAGATCTCTCTTACTCAGACTTTTACGTCATGACCAAGAGCAACGTGCGCACCTGGTGTGCAATCTCAGATCACACCCTTTCTTCAAGGGTATTGACTGGGAAGAGATAGAAGAAGGACCATCACTCGTAAAAGTACATTGGAACCTATTCTCAAGGAACCACTGCAGGAAATCATTGAAGTGGATACTTTTCTGTCCAAAGACCTGGAGATGCCAATTGACTCATTGCATCAGGAGTATTTTAAGGCCTTTGAATACATTAGTGAGAGAATGAAGGCGAGACAAGCCTGATCCTCACCACCACCACAACCAGAGGGCCATCCTTCAATGGGTGGTCAACTAAAAAGTTCACAACAGTGAACAAAAAATGTAAATTAGATATGATGATAGATAGATAGATAGATAGATAGATAGATAGATAGATAGATAGATAGATAGATAGATAGATAGATAGATAGATAGATAGATAGATAGATAGATAGATAGATAGATAGATAGATAGATAGATAGCGCTATCGCTATCCTGCCACGGTGGAAATCACAGTGGTGACCCAGGATTCTCGACTATAGAGGTTGAGGGGCTCCAGGCAGTTGTAATTCAGAGGAAACTGGTTTATCAGTTTCCTCTTTGGCTTGTAAAGCCTGTTTTGGGACCTGTAGCCTGGAGATTTCAAAGAGATTTGGGAGGGATGAAATCTCCAATCCTGGGCCCATGTTTTGAGAGCAGCCAGCACGCTGATTGCACAGGTGTGTGCAGGCTTTTTTGTGGAGTCCAGGCCATGATTCTGGGCTCCACCCCAGCAGACAGGAGGGCTCCACCCTGGCACACAGGAGGGCTCTCTGCCTTGGAGTCAGGTGGGCTTCACCTAGTAGAGGTGGAAGCCAGACAAGCTGTGTGCTATTGGCGAGCTGTGTGCGGGAAAGCCATTTCGGATAGAGTCTGCAGGAGACAGACGGAAATCGATGTACAAGCCAGATGGCTGAATATTGTTTCATTTGTTTGATGGTGGATGCCCCTGCGTGGGAAAGATTTATGGAATAGATAATATTGATAGATAGATGGGCGGCACAGTGGCTTAGTGGTTAGCACTTCTGCCTTGCAGTAATTGGGTCATGGGTTCGATTTCCAACATGGCGCCTCCTGCATGGATTTTGCATTTTCTCCCTGTGTTCGCGTGGGTTTCCTCCGGGTACTCCGGTTTCCTCCCACACTCCAAAGACATGCTGGTAGGTTCATTGGCTCCTGTCTTAATTGTCCTAGTTTCATCCCTGGCCATGTGGGATCTCCTGCATGGTAGGGGTTGGGGAAAGACATGGCAACCTACCCTGTAAAATAATTGCTAAGAAAATTCATGGAAAAAGGTCGCTTACGAGTGACGGTCCATGCAATTGCCAAGGGTCGGATACGACTGAATAGATAGATAGATAGATAGATAGATAGATAGATAGATAGATAGATAGATAGATTAAGGTAGGAACTGGCCAGAGAGGGATTACTTTGACGTAGTTGGCCGGCTTAAACATGCATTGAAAGAAATGTATGTGAACGAAAAAAATCCCTGTTTATATGGGAAGTTTGCTAGAAGGGGGTATATAGCAATGTGTAGATGGTTTAACAGAATTTTTAGTGGCATCACAGGTTGCCTGCAAAAATCTATGGGGGGGTGTAGACAAGACCAGTCACCCTGCACAAGGGCCCCAGCCCTGGTTCACACAAGAACACTGCTGTGGGTGGCAATAGATTCCTAACGACACTCCAAACACACATCACAAATACACAGTGTGTTTGCCTGCACCAAAATGCATGGTACCGCAGAGCCATGTTTTTTATTATTATAATACAGGATTTATATAGCGCCAACAGCTTACGCAGCGCTTTACAACATAAGGGCAGACTGTACAATTCCAATACAAATGAATACAGAAGGACTGAGAGGGCCCGGCTCGTTGGAGCTTACAACCATGTGATCCAGTTTCAGTGCGTTTTTAAATTGCATCGCACTGAACTGCACAGGGACACACAGCGCGTTACTGTGCAATGCCGGTGTCAACCTGCACTAAGTCTGTACACAGTTTGGCTCCCCAGTCCCCTGACTCCAGGCTCAGTTCTTTGTGGATCAATTTCACCTGATGGGATGGACTGCCTGTTCTCATACACTCTTTCATGCCTGGACAGACTCTCTGCGACCTAGTGCATGCAACTCTGGTGTTTAAGTGAGGGTGGAGGGCACAGGTGCACCATCCAGTCCCACTGCTGGCAGACTGGAAAAGTCTATGGGAAACTGACAGCTGGTGGAAGGTGCACCCAATCCTACGAACATTTAGGGGACTATACACCCAGAGACGAATGCCCAGAAAGCCAGCAATCTGCATTGCGATCATTCGTCCCTGGGTGCATACTGCCCTAAATGTTAGTAGCTCTAGGTGCATTATCCTGTCCAGCTGCAGCCGCAAGGTTTCACAAGCTGCAACTGAAAGGCGTCTCTCTGTCACTTGGCGTGATGAAGGTCCCTTGCAGGTTCCAAAATGTTGCATTGCTCATGTAACACGCCTAAACAACACAAATAAAGGCAGTTCTACTGAAGCAGATAGCGCTGCGCTAGCCGTTATCTCTGTTCGCTGTGGCCACATCCACCCAATGCTGCAACACCCCACAATTGCGTTCCGCTGCGGCGTACAATTGAGATAAAGCGCAAAAAGTATGTGCAAAAGAAGTAAATAAGCAGCTAGCACAAAGTGGCAAACCCTCTTCTTCCACTACATAAACATAGAAATAAAGGTGCAGCGCTAATAAACAGGAAACACAAATATGTGAATACAGCGCACTGAGGAGCCTGGAAGCGGTCGGAGCTCACAGAGCTCCAACAGGGTCAGTCCAGCGCTGTGACCTACCCGCAGGTTGCTCTGTGAGCTCCGCCCACTTCCAGGCTCCTCAGTGCACTGTATTCGATAACGCCTTGGCTCCTCCCACAGTCCAGAGCTTTTGACAGAGAAGGAGAGTGCTGTAGCCCCACACCATTCTCAGCCCCCTCCCTCTGTCCATCCACCGGTGGCCCAGACATTACCCCAAACATTCATCAACTGCAAACTTTAATGGGCTGTAATGCACCTCAACAGCAGGATTTTGGCAGCAGGTGTCAGCCAATGATTCCTGGCTGACACCTGCTGATCTGCTGTGTCCAATCACAGCCCAGAGCCCTGTGTTAGCAAAAACACAGGGTTCTGTACAGAGGGAATGATCTGTCTGTTTCTTCTCCCTGCAAAGCAAGAAGAAGGAACAGATTTTAGTAAAAACATTTTTTTTAGTTTTCAGTAAATTCATATGCACACACTTAACCCTTTGATTACCCCAGAATGTTAGCCCCTTCCCAGTCCACGTCATTCGCACAGTGACAGTGTAAAGTACTATTATTGATCTTTGTAATAGTGTCACTGGTAATGTCAGTGTCAGTTGGTATCAGATCAAAGACGTAGCAGAATACATTTTGGCATAAATTCATGAAGAAATGTGGTTTTAATTTCTTTATTGGATATTTTTCTGTAACAAAGTAAAATATATTGGGTTTTTTTTTCAAAATGTTCTATCTTTTTTCGGTTTATAACTTAAAAATGTAGATGGGGGCGTGTCCAAGATGGCGACCGGACGAGTCGCATGACCTGGAGCTCCGGCGGTATTCCTTACCATCCTCCGGCATCCAGGTCGTATAGGAGGGCAGGGGCGAGCGGGATACTCACCCGTCCCTCCTGCATCACTGCTGGGCAGACTCGGGTGCTTTGGGCGCCGTTCTGAGGTGGCGACCCGGTGCGGCCTGTTGCGGCCGGGTGCAGCCGCAGAGTCCTCCGGCGGATCAGCTAGAGGTGGTGTGATACACAGTGCAGGAGTGGGAAGGGGGATGGCTGATCACCCCCCCTTCCGCTCGTTCAGTGAGCAGCCGACTTGCCACCCCTCTGGGTCTGTCGGGAAGCTCCGGAGGACCATCGGTATCACCCTCCCTCCCCCCCTCACAAGTGTTACAGGGGTGGTGAGGCTTAGTGCGGTCTAGTGAGCCCAGGACCTCTCCCATCAGAGCACAGGCTGGGTGCGATCCCATTCACGGACGGATCACTACCCAAGCACATACACACCTCCTCCCACAGCCATCTGTCAGCATTCCAGGGCCCATCGGGGCATCCCCCACACAAACCCCAGGGAACACCGGCATACTGTAGAGGCCCTGCTATAGCCCATACAGCAGGAAGCTGTGTTGAGGTTAGGCCTACGGAAGATATATCCCCTGCAGATTCATATAAGGGGACGACAGTGATAATCACCACATCCACACAGCAAAACTCAGTGTCTCCCCTGATTTGCCTATCCTCTTAAGCCCGTGGAGGCTTACAGCGCAATTTTGGGCCTGTTTTCAGCTACCTATCCACATCTTCACTTTCCTGTTTTTGGGGACCCAGCGTGACCTCAAAGAAAATGGCAATATAATACCTTGAGCCTTGACACATGTAGGTGGGGCTACGCATACATAACAAGGGGTCGCTGCTGCCATGGGGAAAGCAGATAAGAAAGCCACCACTCCTCGTTCCAGATCCCCTCGCCGTACAGGTGGTTCTGCTAATCGCAGTATCCCGGAATTATTCCGATCTCTCACTCCGGATCAAGCAGAATCTTCCGCCCTTGCATCCCCACTACATTCGCCTGCGAGAGAGACTCTTTCACAGTCTATGAGTTCGGCAACAGCTAACACAACTGGACGCTCCGAACCTCCCCCTCTCACCATAGGGGATTTGAAAGCGGTTGCATCGGATATTAAAGGGACTCTTTCTGCAG